GAAAACATCCTCCAGTTGTGTTCAACTTTTATCATCTCTGTCCATCAAGAGAGGCAACTTCAACTGAATTGTCGTCCTTAAATTTGCTTTTACCTTACACACACGTTAGTGGTCATAGTAGTTTGTAATCGAAAAGACGTAAAAGATTGTATTTATATACAAAATAACGAAAAACAATTGCAAGGGCTAAAGGAGTTGAAAAAACTAGCAAAAGGGTGAAAATGGGTTTTGAAATAATACCAAGTAAAATTGATCAGTTTTAGAATCAGAAATCATACATCCTATGATGTTGTATAAAATGCTATTTGTTGAGCGGGACCACAACGGAATTTCCCTCCTACATAACTTTAAATTTGTGCTCATGTTAATTAGGGATCCTGATTGTATAAAAATCAATATAAAGTAAAATCGGTCAGTTCATAAGAAAAAGCTAATAAAACTAACCAAATTTGTTTGGGGTAGCCAAGAAAAAACGTTCCTTGTACTTACTTGACATACACTTTATGGGTAATATAATTAGTTGAGGATAAAGTTAAAGTATTAAGATCCTTTTTTAAGGTGACAATTCAAAATTGGGTCTTAATCGTTTGAAGAATCCCCAAAGCAGCCCTCCCTCGAAAGCTTTCCTCCCTAAATTCTCTTCAACAGTTTACGTAACACATATTAGTTACTGGAATAGGGTTTAGTTGTAAAAATCCAACTCCTGAGGTGTATTCTTTATCTGTGGCCTAAAGTCGAGTTTTTCTTTGTATCTTTCAAAACATGAAATCGTAACTGCAAGGGACAGATGTTGCCAAAACCACCAAATTGTTGATATAGAGAAAACAATTATTGACGGGGATGAATGTATGTTGGCAACACTTGTTGGTACATTTGGCAACCCTGCTTCCTTTGTAACTTACACTGTTGTAACAATTAAACCCACAACACGTACCAGACTGTACACCCGTGTCTGTCTAAAGATAGAAATTTCTATGTTATCTTATTGTATTTGAGGTGGTGAGAAAATTTCAATGAGAACCTTAAAAAGAACCAGTGAAATGAGGAGCGTATTTACAATGTTATATAAAAAAAGTGACTGTGTTACCTATACTATATTATTAATCTATTCAAAAGTATGACAAGAAGAGCCGTTACGGTACCAAATAAGTATAGCAATAAGCTTGTAAGCTACTTATTCGATTTTAAAATAATAAAAAAACCTTAAGCAAATCAACTATGACCAAATAAGTATTCGTTTCTTCATAATATTGCCAAACGGCTAAATCATTTTCCAAAATAAACTTATCACACACTTTTTAAATAAGCTCTATATTTCGGCATAAGACTTCTTCAGGAACAAACAATAAATTATTGTTTGATCCTTAAGAAGGCTTATGCCGTAATATAGAGCTTATTTAAAAAGTGTGTGATAAGTTTATTTTGAAATAAAAAATAAGTATTCGCAAATAGATAAAAAGTGTTTTTATGTAATTAACCTTTTAATCTCGACTTTTTAAACCATTTACAAAAACTAATTTCGTCAGATGTGTAAAAATCAGTAGGGGATATAGTAAATATGTTTATGTGAAAAAAATAAAATCCTACATACATTTGGTGATGCATTCCACGACGGATAAAAGAATAATAATGAATTCACTTACTTTTTAGAGAGTTTGGTTCAATTTAAAATCCTAGATATTGTATTAAAAAATTCAATTCTCTTTTGAACATAAGTTTTTAGTTATGTTCAAGTGATATTGAAAACCCAATATGCAAACCTTAAAACGTAGAATAGATTCCCACACAAAACCTCTGCATAATAATCAGATAAAGTATAAAAAAATCTAAAACACTTTCTAGGTAAATCTACAAGCAAAGAAAGTTATTACAATCTAAACTCGCTCAACCAAATTCGATTGAGCCACAAAAGGTATAAGAAAGGCAACTAAAGAACGAAAGACAATTAAAAGGAAGATAGAGTTAAGAAGAGATTTTGCCGTGACGTCCGCTTTGTTCTAATAAAACAGCTGATTAAAACAAGTAAAACAGCTTATTAAAACAATCAAAAGCCCCAACTGCCTGTTAACCGCGCTTTGCTCTTCTATTGAGCCATTCTCGTTCAGATTAGCCGTGAGGCGTTCAGTTATCTCTTCGTTTCTTGTTCAGGCAAATACTTGTAAAAATGTTGTTTATCGGTATGTGAATTGCCACATTTGTAGGTTAACGTATTTTCCTAGTGTCTTTTAACTGATAATAAATTTGATAATGAAATAATTATACTATTTAATAAAGAAAAACACGATTTCATTTAATTAAAAAATATAAAGTTTTTAAGATTTTTATATTAGATTTCCAAAAGGTAAATGTGGTATAGTTTTTAACTATTTATGCTGTATTTTACTTAATCTTTTAATTAAGTAACCCTTGTATTTGGGGCAAAAATTTAGGTACATAAATAGGTACACCTTTTGTTTAAATTATTACATTGTTTCACGCAAAAATTAACGATCAAAATATTTAGACAATTATTGGACTCTATTGATCATAATTCGCAACAAACTGAGTGGCAACCAAGTATAAACCCAAAAGTTAATTCCATTTCAATTTACAACTTCGTCCGATTAAAATTCATACCGGAAACAACAAAACGAAATAATGAAGAATGCGACCGCCAAGTGTACCGAGTTCAGTAATAGTAATGAGAATAATAAATAACAGCTGTGGTTACCAGCGACGTGGCGACGACGCCAGCTCTGTACGAGTGCCACAGTCTATAATGTGGCAAAACTAATGGTCCGAGGTGTCTCATGGTGTCGAATCTCACAAGACCGAAACACAGGTTAGACTTACTGATAGATTTATCACCCTCAAGGATCAGTTAAACCATTTAAAGATTGAAAGGGGTGTTACTTTCCGGTTTGTGTATATTGCGTCTTATCGTTTACTAGTTATTTATTGTTATTTCATCGAATAAAATGTATATCCAAATAAAAACTGTTATGATCTATCGCTTATTGTCTGGTGTTACCAATGAGTCTAATGTTAAATTAACTGTAACTTAGTTAATTGACAAAATATTTGTTAACATCAGCTCAATCAAAAATAATCGGATATACATCAATATAAGATTTTTGATTGTACAACGGAATTAAATATATTCTTGCAATGATGGATAACCTCACACGCTCTTTTTTACAAAGGATACCTACGTTCTGGAAACTAATAGGTTTTAAAAATGTTCTTCTAAATTTAATAAAAGAGATGAAACACATATTTTGAACTATAAACCAACATTGTACAAACATATTTAAGTTTAGACTCGATTTAAGCATTATTAAAAAAGTTCAATCCAGGTGTACAAAAATTAAAAATCTATTGCGTGATGGAGAGCTGTCTAATTTGGGGAAAAATTAATTTAATATACCGTGCTAAGCGAGGGAAACCTGGGAAAGTTTGATCCTGTGGTCAGCGTCAGTTGGCAGCAGTGAGTCAAAGTTTACCCGCGCTGACAGTTTGGCGGGAAAAAGTCACCTCGTGGCTAATTAACATCTGTTTACGAAACAGCTGATAAATTATTCCCACCTCTCGCACGAAATTTCTCAAGTTTTAGGAACGCGAACTGATGACATCTTGTGAATTCTTTACAAATTACCAGACAGGGATGAAGTTTAGTTGGAACTTTAAGTAAAAAGATTACATTGGAATATTCAGGGTTAAAATTTACACTGATAATATACAGAAAGTTAACTTCGGTTAACAAATTCTTAAAGATTTTTGTTATCTTGTAATCGATGCTTTACAACAACTATTTATAAAGCTATCTCCATCGCCAAATAATACCGTAGTAAGACACTGAATAATTTGATTCTAAGGTAGGGTTTGTTTGTAAAACTCACTGAGCTAAATGTTTGTTTATTGGATTTTAAATAGTCTTGAAAGTCTAATCTATATTAAAAGGTGTGTTATTATACTTCATTACTGTTTCATAAAAAAACCAAACAGAGTGTCACAATACAAGTAAGTATATTATTAACAATAGATGTGATTAAGATATTATTAAAAAAATTATTAAATGGTATTTTACAGTATAAGCATTTATTAAAACCGTATCCCAGTTATAACGTGTCCCAAATTAAGATAACCCCTAAAGAACCTCGATACCAAGTCACTCAAGGGGGTTTGCTAATAAGACTTGTTATCAAGGTAAACCTCCTGTCCATGTTTGCAATAACATGTGATTATGTGTAAAACAAAATCAAAGAGTATTTCAAAACTATACTTGTTACCAAGGGTGACTTGCTGTTGAGGTTTTACTGTACTAACAAAGGTATTAAAAATTAACTTTAACAATACAACTTTACTACAAACACAATTTACACTATAATACGTGTCAATATATGTAATTGTACTAGGTCTACTATTTAGTCAAAATGTATCACAGTCAGGCTGCCAACTTTGCAGACGCGTGGTTAACATTTAGAAAACAATTATTGACGTGGGTGAACGGAAGTTGGCAGCACTTGTTGGTACATTTGGCAGGCCTGCTTCCTCCGTAACTTATACTGTCGGTACAATTATTCCAAGTCCAAGGGAGCACACACTTGCTTCCCGTCGAAATGTGCAAATTATTGACAAATATTCTTTGACCGTGCAAATAATTGATATGTCTCTTTTCACGCAGTTGTCAGCAAAATATTATAGATTGCTTTAGAGAAGAACTGAATTCAATTAATTTCCCTATAAGTCTAAGAGACATGTGTAAAATGTGTTATAACGATTTTAGTGGAAATGCAGAAAATAACTTTTACACTGTTTTAGTTGACTTAATTATTAATTTTTTTTGCCATAATCCAACCTTGCTGAAAAGGGAAAATAAATGTTCTCGGAAAAATTGTTAAAATATTACGATTTTCGTTACTTTTAAAGTGAGTCGAAGATGTGGTGGTAAATTTCAAATCTTGAATGACACGAATCATACTATGTACTTTTAACTTTTAAATGTTCCTAGACTATCTCACCTCGGTTCCTTGGACCTTGAGCTTCATGTGATCCTCTCTGGTGGTTTTGCCGTCTTTGCGTTTCTTCCAGCAGTAGCCGTCACGGCGGTACCTCACCTTCTTGCGACTGTAGAGCAGCATGGAACCGCTCTTGGGTCTGAAACATGCAAACATCAATCAAACACTGATCATATGGACCTCAGTCTGCTGGCCTCATACCGCAGGTTACTGGTTTAATCGTAATAAAAAATTTTAGACCTTGAAACTGGGACCAGATGTCCTTTACCACTGGACTTTAATCAAGTAATCGAAGGTAAACAATCAGCTGCACTCGGTATGCTTTTGATAGTACATGCAAAGATTAAATGGTATTGCAACGTCGGTTGTCAAAAGTTTTTGACGACAAATCACAGCAATCAGTCACAAGTAGAACTGATTAATCAGCAAATTCACCCTAAAGGCTTCTCCAAGTGGAGTTGATTCAAGGCGATGTTGAAAGGGGTTTATTGATACATGTATATCAGTTGAAGAGGTAGGTGTTAGACGGCTAAAATAGATGAACAGTAACTACAACTTCACCCTTCAACACGAATAACCATAGATTGGTATTACTGCACTATTTTGTTCCTGACACAAATTGAAAAACCCTCTCTAGGGATAAACTAAATGCATAAAATTAGAGTTGAAATCCATAAAGGCGAGACTCGAGGGTCAAGGAGTTAAATAAAGTTGATGGAAGCGGGAAGCGGTGCATGTATGCAGCCTGCATGCGATGCATTTGAAAATCAAATACAGTATACACACTCGACCGTCCCATCAATATTGCCTTCTGTTACGTCCTATCTTGCGCCGGCTGACACCACATGTATTTCTATTGAGTCCTTATTTTTCTTTCCTTTCATCTCTTCGAAATAACTGGAAATATTAATCTATAGGTTTTGTTTCGCTTATTGGTGTGTGAATTTGGATGACACAGTGTATATAAAGAAATTATTTCATCATGAATTAATTGATTAAATAAAATTTCTACTGACACTGTATTATCTGAGTACATAGTAATATCCTGAAATAAAGGATCTTGGAATTAATGGAATACGAGGAATTGTTCTCAAAAAATACTTCTTGTGAGAAGTCTTATTATTTTGCTTATATTATGTACTGCAATAATTGAGTAAGAAAATGAAGATGTTTGATGAGTTAAACAAGTTTCGTACTTTAAGGTGGTCACAATGTCCAACTTGATGTACGATGATAACCCTTGACCCTTGACCTTGATGTAAGATGTATGTTGTGAGGACAAATAGATAGTATAATAAATACTTATTTAGAATTTATTTTCAATCAATTATCAATTTCATTGAGTAGATTCCTCTTAAATCTTGATAAATCTCTGTAAAGCTACTTTTTACTTCGAATGTGATATGCAAATGGAATGTTGGGAGTATAACATTTGTCTTGAGGTATAAAATTCAAATGTAGGTTTTCCACCTAGAAACAATAGATATAATATTGGATTGAGATCAGCCGCTTTAAGTTAGACACTCCCGGAGTTACAAATTTAATACCCATCTATAACCAAACGATTTTTACCTTATTATTTCGTCACTCAGTACAGATACCACCTTAAGTTCCTCCTTACCAAAATAAAAGAAACTATAAAACTCTTACGAATAATCTTCAACCATGAAATCTCACCTCATGAACAAAAAAAATTTCAATCCGAACTTCACGACACATTCTTTAACCTCGTTGTCAAGAGGAGATTCAAGGAATAAATCTTTACATGGTTTAAACTGAAAACTCCATTAAAGACTAACAATTATTCTAAGGACCGAGCAAGAGCGGCACACTGGGGAAGTTTATAGCCGTTTGTTGTGCTCTTTAATTGTCTTCACAACTTCGCCCCCCCCCTCGCTGTCTATCCCCCTAAACCCCCCCCCCCCCTGTGGGACAAGCGCTCTGAGAGCCGAGAGTTTGAAATCATTTAACCGTCTATAGGCCAAAATCTGGTTGAAGTAATTTATTTAAGTGGTAATAGTGAAATGCTATTTACATACCTAGTATGTATGTGTTTTTTTACTATTAATTGATAAATTGATTGAATTGAGGCTTAATTGATAAATTACACGAGCAAGTAAGATATAATTTGCGGTCTATGGCTAGTATAACAGTTAATTATGAAAAGTGAATATTAAAAATCGAATTAGATAAAAATTAATTAATTTCTTTACATCTCTACGGCGGTAATTTTTCGTTGTTACGAACAAAATGAACGCAGTTGTATATTTATTACGGTATTTATGTGTAAAGGCGTGTATAACTTAATTGTAACATTAACCGATAAATAGGTATTCAAACGATTGCATGATGTCTTTAAATGAAGGGGAGTATGTGAAGAGTATCTTTTTTTCTTAGTAGGGAGAAACTCAAGCTAAAATTTTGTGTATACCACTGGGTCAATGCGTTATTACAAAAGCTGGCCTACAAGCTTAAGCTTAAGCTTACAATGCTGACCTTGAAGCTATTTAAAGCTTAAATTAATTGGCTACTAACAAGATTAAAAACCTTTCTTCCAGGGCTGAAGTCCCAGGACCTATATATATTTTTCACGATAATGTCAATAGTTTAACAATTGTTTACACTTGGAACATTAAAAATATCATTATATGATGGGGATGCAAGTGTGTAGTTGAACTGAAATATAAATGGAAAAAGTAGATGCCTTGTGTAGCTTTGTTATTAACTACTACGGTCGGATATTTCTCTAACCAGGATTATTAAAACCACAATTATCAAGGAAAACTGGGTCCTAATTTGAACTATTCTATGTAATGAACAAATCTCATCCAAACACCTACAAAGAAAAAATATATTAACCCAAACTAAGAGCACGACTAAGACAATTTAAGTGAGGCAGGATCTCAACCTAACTAGTTTGAAATAAAGAAAAGCAGTTACAAGGTCGAAAGGGATGTTTAATTGTTGAGGTACAACTTGTCCTCTGGGGGTGATAGAAACTTGTGTAAGACTGCTAAAAGAAGAACACTGTCTGCTGGTCCCCAAACACCCCTTATAACGGTGGTGGAAAACAAGACTGACTTGTACTGGCGATAAAAACTACTTTCTTAAAGAGGAAACCAGTGTGAAATAAATGTCAAACTTTTTAAAGTAGAAATTTCACTCCAGACTAAATAAAATTTATATGTAAAACGAAATATTCTAGTTTGAGGAGATGGTTTAAAGTGACTTCAGCTGTAAAATAGTTCAGGTGTGAGTTTAACACCACATAGAAAGGCTCTTTAAACTATTTGACATGATTGAAATTTCTATTTAAAATGTAGAACAGCTGTATACTTTCAATTAGTGCAAAGCTTTTGTGTCAAAAAATTACAAATGGGCTTTTATTTGGAGGTTATTTTTAGGACGAGGTTAAAATATTATTCACGCGCACAAATGGCCAACCTTCTGATCTTCAGACACTATCACTGGGAGTATGTCCATAGGTTTATTAGCAATGTGATTAAAACCAAAGTTGTGATAAAGTCAAACAAATCTAGTTGTACTATAAAGTGGGTTTTATTTTTTTTCTGTCTGTAGAGAGCTGTAGATTTTGTTAGCTGTAAAACTCGTCTACTGATATTTTTTACTGACTGAAAAAAATTGACCCGATGAAAATATATACTATAGTATCGTTATTATTATCTGTTTGAGTTAATCACGGTGTTGTATTGTTTAGAAAAATTGAAATGCAACAGAATTTATTTGAATTTATTATTATTATTATTTTTTTTTTGTTGGCGGAGTTATTTGACCTATGACTTAGAATAGTGTTATGACTTGTTATAACTTTGAATCTTCACCCCTACTTTAAAACATTGTAGGGGTGCTGTAGTACCAAAATATTTTCTCAGCCGTGCTAACAAGCCGAACAACCCATTTTACTTCAGACAGCTATAAAAGAAGGAATTAATAAGGGCAATAAAAACTCTAACTTTCTTTAGCGTCAGTAAAAGCATAGTTTGAAAGAAGTTAATGTTTATAATTCGCAACTTCCAGCTTTACATGCACGTTCGCCATTAATAGCTGCAACACTGTTACTACCTTCCCTACAGGCAGCATTAATGTTTCAATTTGTTCACTTAATAATCAGATAGGTAGGGCAATTAAATATAATTAACATTTAAATACACTCAACAGCACTAGTCGATCACTTTGGCGTTTTTCAAGAGGGAAATGCCATAAAAATTGCATAATTACCAACGGTTCGTGCTACGTTTTTAGTTTGTTGCATTTTTGCAGTTTGTTTGACAAGTAATTATTGTAACGTATTTCACTGTTATCAGACGCTCGATGGATCAATGTGCCACTCAAATAAAGCGGATTGTTATTTATAATATGCAGGTTTTGACCCACTTATTTTAAATTAAACGTTTTAATGTTATGTTACATTATTAAGAAGTTGGAATTGTTTGAAAATATTGGTAAAATATTGAAATATTTATGTTTATAAGTAACATTTTTAGGTGTGTTGTAAGTTCTTAAACAGTCGAAATTAACGGATTTCGTGGATTACAGATCCTCTTACAACCCTAAACTGGGGTGAGAGAGACATCGAGAGAAATTTTAGAGAGAGAGAGTTCTCTGATGCAAAGTAAATTTTCTTCTGCTGCGAGAAAACGATTCCTTTCTTCATACATGCTTCTTCAGAAGAGCTCTAAAATACGGCGTTACAGTTTTATCTTATAGCTAAATCAACGGGCTTTGGATTTGGGCCTCCGTGAAGTCCCAGTAAATAATAAAGTCTAAATCAGTCACGATAAAAATGGAAATTTTTTTTTATATTTCGTATTTAACTTAAATATAGCTCGATAATAATAACAAACAATTTATTATTTTTAGACTTTCATAAAAATAAGAATATGCAACAAGGGCAAATCGGGAAATTTTGAATAGGCCTATATGTGCAAAAATATTAAAATATATGATTTCCACCTAAAAAACGTATCAGTGAGTACGAAAAATAAGCTATATTTGTATGCAAAGAGAAACTTCAGTTAAAAGCTTCTTTCATAAAGTGTGTAAAATATTTTGCCCATAAGCAATATTCAGAAGAAAACAGAAAACGAGTTGTAAAAGTATGGGTATTTTGGAAGGGAT